AAAAAAAAAAAAAAAAAAAAAAAAAAAAGAAAAGAGTCAAGATACCAAGTAGATGTAATGAAATCATTTTTGGAGATGATAAGCACTATAATAGAGTATGTGATGGTTAGTTTTAATGGTCATCTTGATTGAATTAAGAAGCATGTAGGATATTAATGAGGTACATCTTGGATTGTATATATAAAGGTGTTTCCAGTGAGGTCTAACTGAGGAGGTAAGCTACACCCTGAATGTAGGTAGCACCATGCTATGGTCAACAAGAAAGGGCAAAGAAGAAAGCCTGCTGACATGACCACTGTCATTGCCCACCCTCTGCTTCCTGATTGATGCCATGGATCAGACTGGTCCTGCCACCATGCATTCCCAACCAGGGTGAGTTTCATTCCTCTGAAGTGTGAACCAGAATAAATCCTTCTCTGTTGGGCTGCCTTTTGTTAAGTGTTTGGTCACAGTGATGAGAACACTAACTAAAACCAAAGATTTTATTTTTCCTTTTTAATTATCTGTAAGTATAAATGTCAAGTTAGCAACTGACAGATTTGTGTTGGAAATATGAACATGGAAAGTATACACAAATCGGGGGTTCTGTGAAGGACAGGCTAGATGAGGATGCTTAGAAATCAGATGCAACCATAGACTGGAAAGCATCACTCAAAGAGAAGAGAATTGGTCCTTTTCCACAGAAGCATTCATTCTTTTAAAGCTTGTGTTTATAGCAAGAGGCAAGAAACAAGATAAGATAAAACATTGACAAATTCTGGTTCACTAAAGGAAAGGTGAGAATTTCAAAAGCAAAACAAAACAAAAAACCAACCAACAAACAAAAAACAACCTTTCCTTTGTTTTGGATGCTTCTGAAGTCAAGTAAGAAAAAAAAAATCAATGCAGGAACTATTGGATCCGACAATGTGGAGGGCATTGGTGACTTTGAAATAGTATCCTCCTTGGTTTAGCAAGATGCAATGCCAGCATAAGAGATGGAGAACTGAAAATGAGATGAGGAAGAAGATGGAGAAAACAATGAAGGTTTTCATGACCTGGAGCACATATGAGGGGTTTGGTTGATGGGGTGGGGATCAGAATAATTTGGAGGGTTTTATTTCAAGGTGAGGATATGAAAGCATGGTTGTAAGTTGATGAGAACCATGCTGTAGATAAAGAGAATGTGATGGGTCAGGAGGGTAGCCAGGTGGGGGCGGGTGAGATGAAGCAGGAAGTGTAGATGTTGCCTTGGGATGGGAAAAGCACTCTTCTGTGAAGTTGATTGGAGGAGAAGACAGCTATGGGAGGGCACATAGTTTAGGAAGTGGGAAGACATGTTGATGTATAATGCCTTAAAATCTGTCAATAAATCAGGGGAAGATCTTCAGCTATGGAAATGTAGGTGGGGAAATAGGAATAGTAGATGAGATCATCAAGGAGAACTCATCCCATAAACAGAGGGATCAAGGAGATTTATCATCTTCATTCATTATCTATGTATATAGATAATGTATATAACCAACTGTATATTCAGGATTTTACAATCCTCTTTAGTTCTTTTCCTATATTACATCTAATTATTGCCTCACAGTCCCTAAAGGCACATGCTGTTTCTATCTCAGTAGGTCAAACTACAAGATTTTCTCTCCTTTTGAAGCCTCTCCATCTGGTGGCAGTGCTAATAAGCGTTGTCAGTTTATTTATAAATTCATTTCAGTAGGCATTTTACCCAGCTTTTATATGCTAGGATCCTGACTTCTACTTCACGGTTTACCTCAGTTTTCTGTGGTAGCCCCCATGCCTGATTCTCATGAATTCTGTAAAATGAATGAAAGGCCTAGATTCTAAAACATAGCAGAGCTGGTGCATGATTTTTGTAGAGAACCCAAGTAAGCAAATAGGCCATTTTTGTAGTACTAACAGAGCGGTGTATACACACTTGTAGGAGTCATAAGGTAGGCCCAGCAATACAAGGTATACACTGTGGATACCTGTAGATACCTGTGGATGCCTGTGGATACCTGTGGATGCTTGCAGATGCCTGTGGATACCTTTGTTTCATAGACTCATTTCCTCTTTTATGTAACTCAGATGTACAGGCCAAATACTAATCTCCCCTGCTCTTCCTCTTGCCTACCCTACACAGAGTTCCTTCTCCTAAAGCTGGGTCCAGCATCATGAGTGCTGGTGGCCATGTTAGAGGAGTAGCAAATCCCTGATGGATGAATCTTAGATAGGCAAGGCCCCAAGACCATGGACTCCAGAATGCGTCTTGCTTCTGCTGTGCCTTCACATGTTTGCCGCTGCCATCTTTCTCTGGTATCTGGCATGGCGTGAATGGGTGTGTGGAGATCCCCACTGCCTGTAATGTAGTGTGTTTATCTCATGGAAATATCCCATTCTACTGGGCATTTTAATCTGTAGATTAGTGTGAAGATGATTTCCTCCTAAGCTGTACTGTCTAATTGATAATAATAATGTTAGTTTAAATAGAGTTTTGATGATAAAAAATAAAACAAGAACATAGCTAGAACACATGGGTTTCTACTGAGGAGCCACATAGATGGTGGCTTAGGTTAATGATTAAGGAAAACAACTGAGTCCCAGTAGCCCATCTAGTTTAAATTCTTTTAATCTTAATGTTGGGAGATGTGTTCACAAGTTTCAGAGTGCATAATAGCTGAAACAAAGCCTTAAAATAACTTCATGTTAGATCAGATGTTTTGATAATAGCTTTGAGATGAAAAACCTTAGAAAACAATTTAAAGTTCACAATGACACATAGTTGAATATAGATTCGCTAGGTTAGGGTCAAAAATTAAAAACAGCCCAATTATTACTAGCTGATGTACTTTCCTTGCTAGGACTGGTTGGTGATCAAAGATGATAACTAGTTCCTTATACCCATTTCTGTCCTCAAGCTCCTGATATAAAATCTATTGATGAGTGGGTATGGACCCTAATGGTTTAAAGGAGAAGTGACTGGTTCTTTTTTATACATAAAAGTTTAGTTTTGTGATTCCTTTAAGATTCCTTATAAGATTACCTTTCAAGATTAGTAATAAAGTGATTGGGCCTTTCTTTGTAACTGCAAAACACAGCCAACCAGTAAAAGACCCGACTGAGAAGAAAATCTTGCTTGCTAACACTCTGTCAAGCTATAACTAGTTGCTTGGGTATGAATATATGTGGGTTCTTAGAGAATTTGTTTTCCAACTGTAATGCATAAAACATTTAATCATGTAAGGGATATGGAAAACATGCTTTTTTTTTAACTTATATTCATTGTAATCATTCCCTTGAAAAATAGAATGTAACCACATCGTAATTTTTATATTGCCTGAAAGATTTTGCTGGGGTATATACACTGTAAGGGAAAGAATAGAGATAGAGTTAGAAGTGAAACATCAAAAGTAAAGATAGAGTTAGAAGGAAAATATCAAGAATGAAAGAAGGAAATCACCAGGAAAAATAAAGAGAAGAACATAGAAAAAGAATAAAGAACTAAACCATCAGGAGAGGGTGTGAGTGTCTTTTCCCTTACCCCCTCAGATAGAAAAGTCATGGTACACTGACTCTGTGGATTCTCTTTAAGCACCATGCAGCAGCTCCCCCAGGCGGCAAAAATGAGTCCCCGACAAAGATTGTTCCTTGGAAGTCCAGATCAAGTCTTGTATTGCTCATGATGTCCCAGGATCTTTGTGATTTCCTCCTTCTCCAATAATCCCCTGTCCTTCCTGTTACACGTCCTCTCTTAACCAGCACTCTGGCATCAGACCCTCCTAGACAAGCTGCACTCCAGGCAGAATTACTTGATATTTATTTATTTATTTATTTATTTATTTATTTATTTATTTATTTATTTATTTATTTATTTTTGCTTTACATGAAATTTTATCTCTCATTGGTCTATTTCTCTACATTGCTTCTGCCACCTAGAGGATGCTTTCACTCCAACATCCCTATGGCCACTTTCTATGTGTTCTTTAGGATTCAATTTAGGTGCTCCATCTTCCCAGAGAGTCTTTCCTTGATGATAACCCATCTCACAGTCTCTACTCTCTACTCTACCACTGTGATCTCATGATTCCTGTTCCCACACACACCTAAACCTTCCTATACTGTATTACCATCTCCCCCACTGCACTGATAATTGCTTGGTGCCAGATCTATTTCTTTTCAACCACCTCACATGGTTCCCCAATAAACAGGAGGAGCACAATATACACTTGGGTAATGAGTAAATAAAGAAAAAAAAAGTGAGCAAAAGACCCATCTTTCAAATGAGGCCTTTCAAGTCTCCATCAATTTTGTTTTGTTTTGTTTTAACCAAGTCTACCGAGAAAACTCTTAATCTTGCTGAAATGCAGGAGATTGGTGGTGCTTGAACACAGAGGCTGCTGAGGTAAACAGGTCCCTTAAAGCAAGCGGGACCTTGTTATAAATGAATCCTTGCTTCATTCATCTCTATTCTTTCCCTTTTTATTCAAAGGGTTTCCTTTCTGCATGCCTATTTCCAGTCCTTCCCAGCTACTGTTGCAGAAGTTTCGATGCGGATTCCAGAAGGTCAAGGGTATTGAAAGTGTCAGCGCATACCTCGCGCTACCCCCACGTCAGTCCCTCGAGAATATTCTATTTTACAAAGCATTTTTTTTTCAAAAAACAAACCTACACACTTCTGGACCAATTCATCTGCAATTTGCTGTACTTCATAGAGCTCAAAGCCCCCGCGTGTCTAAACTACTAGGAACGATTTCTGGACACGTCAATAAAAGTTCCCTAATGAACAACAGCTGTGAAGAACATGTCTTTAAATAAATTGATTCCAAATTTCTCCCCATGTTCCTGTGATTTTTCTTTTTAAATGGGCACCGCTGACTTTAAACTTGGCTATCTGAGAGAGCGGAAGGAAAAAATTATACATTGTTCAAGAAATATTTCATTGTCTTGTATTTCCTCACCATTTTTTTTTTATCTGAAGAGGTTAATGTGCACTCACACCGAATTGCCTCACTTCTGTTTGTAATAACGTTGTAGAGCAAAAGGCGATCTCCCCATTTTTTCCATCTGGGAAAATCTGCCTGAAATAAGGACAGTTACAGACTCATGCAGATTGGGAACCAGGATTGGAATTCAGACCCCCTAATCTCAAGGATTACATCCCAAGCAAAATCTACCATGTCTCTTAAAATTAAACCAGACTATCCCTCTCTCATGTAGAGAACACTCAGGACATGAGTGCTTGTGTTATATCCCACTTAGACACCATTAATTTCATGCCTAACTTGTATTAATTGCATATCGCAACATTTGTGTTCAATTATAAAAAAAAATCAAATTAGATCTGATATTCCCCTCTAAGGAGTAAAAGGCACCAATTTGCTTAACATTCAAACAAAGTTTTATATCAGAATTACCTTACCCCTGAAATCTTAATTAAGCCTTCAAACACATTTAAGCTTTATAAGGAATGAACTTGAACTAGGCATCAGAAAATAGAAAGTAGCACTTGGAAGAAGCCCGGGATGGATACCGTTTCCATGCTGGGATCTAACAGCATTGCAGATGGTCATTTTTCCCACTTCCTTTTAGGGGAGCCTAGAAAATCTGGCTATGCAGCCTCACGGTTTCCCCTCTCTGATCTACTTCTCTGGACATCTGTGTTTCCTGTGGGTTGTGTTCAACCAGCAATATCGAGGCAGTAAATATTTCACCTTCCTGTTCCTCTCTTTCATTCTAATTGACTGAAAGGAGAGATCATGGTAGGCTCCTATCTCTAGGAACCTTCCTCTCGTCGCCTGGTGACCATTCTCTTGCCCTTTGTAGCAGTTTGTGACAGTGTTTTGTTGGAGCAGAGGCAAATTTGGGATGGTGGGAGGTAGGATGGAGGGTGGGAAGGGTTGAATTAGGACCCAGAAATTGTTGAACAGAACAAAATGAAAAGCTGTTCCCAATTTGAAAAGTGAGTTGACGTCTGTTACTCTGGTATGCAGTAAAACATGTTTTCCATCTAGGACATAATAAAAGCTACAAGCATTTTACACTGTGCATTAGGGGCTGCATCTTTAATGGAACATCTTTTCATATAGAGCACGTACCGACTTCGCTGTTTGATGATACCTTTTGAACATTTTATCACTGCGGTAGATGAAATATCTCACAGCCGTGGCAAATCCCAGATGAATTGGCAAAACACCTCTGTGGAAATGACTCCGAGGGGTTTATTGGTATTTCATTTTTCATCTGTTTCTGTACACGCTGTGTGGGGGACTGGAATGTACGCATAGCTTTCATAGTGGCCTTTGCTTCCCTGATATGAAGAAAGCCCAGAGGAAACCCAGGACTAAAAAGGATGAGAATTTTGAAATGAGAGTGGAACCATGAGAATCAAAAGATGGTTATCAATGTGGATTGAGGCAAACATTTATGTACTGAGCCCTGGGAGAAATGAATAGGGGGCTTGGGAAAACATATCATCACAGAACCACAAAGCTCCTGAAGGAGCCTTTCACACTGCGTGGTACTTGGGCAGCACCCCCAAGAGGCACACAAATGTAGTGCCCCAGCTGTGAAGATGTAAATCTTAAGCATCTGTTCAATGGCCTAGGGAAAAAATGTGTATCTAAGAATCTTTTGATTTTTCTCCCCTTCTGTTCTTTTAAATAATTCTCTGAGATAATTATTTCCTCCCTTGTCACTTAAATATTGTCTGCTCACTTGTGTCCCTCAATATATTTACGCCTCTCCTGCCCTATATTTTCCATGTGTGGATTCAACTCCAATGTACTGACACCTTCAAGTCTTCATTCCCAGAGAAGATCAGATCTGTCTGTGTTTCGAATACCTGAGTGTATCTGTGCCTGCCCTGTGCCTTGTGCTCAGCATCTCCTTCATTCAACTAGTTAGTGCTCACATCCATTAAATTTCTTCTACTGAACCTTCATCCATCAGTTTAGTAGTCTAGAGAATAACCCTAAAAACTAAAGTTTTTTGTTTGTTTGTTTTTGTTTTTGTTTTTCGAGACAAGGTTTCTCTGTGTAGTTCTAGCACCTTTCCTGGAATTCACTCTGTAGCCCAGGCTGGCCTCGAGCTCACAGAGATCTGGCCTGCCTCTGCCTCCCGAGTGCTGGGATTAAAGGCGTGTGCTACCACTGCCCAGCTAAAGTTTTTTTTTT